GGCTGGGCTGGGTGTGCCCGGACGAGGAGCCTCTCATCCGTCCTGGGAGATGTGAGGGGGGCAGACACCCGGGCAGGAGGGACCAAAGTCCTCATGTACGGCCTTGGGGGAGTTAATGTGTAATATTCTAGAATATAAACTGGGCTGTGAGGCGTGATCTTGAGCGCAGACCTCCAGGAGTCACCGGGAGCCGCACCGGGAGCTGCCACCATGTCGGTGAGGATGCCGGCTTGCCCACTGCCCACCTCCTCCGTTTCCCACATCTGTGCTTCAGTGGGGCAGCTGGTAGGGGGCAGGGGGGGAAAGCAGCTGGAGGAAAGCCACTGCCCCTCTCCGGGCCTCGGTTTCCCTGTCCGTAGACTGACCAAGTCGGTCACACGGCGTCCACAGCCCTCTAGGGTAGATGTTCTCCGCTCCCTCCACCACCACCTTGCAGGGGGAGCCGAAACCTACCTCTTCCCCTCTCTAGACTCCGTTTCTCATCCGTAATAATAACTGCCAACATCTACTGGGCTTTAACTTTTTTTTTTTTTAAACGTTTATTTGTTTTTGAGAGACAGAGAATGAACAGGGGAGGGTCAGAGAGAGAGGGAGACACAGAATCTGAAGGAAGCTCCAGGCTCTGAGCTGTCAGCACAAAGCCCGACGCGGGGCTCAAACTCACGGACAGTGAGATCATGACCGGAGCCGAAGTCGGATGCTTAACCGACTGAGCCACCCACGCGCCCCTACTGTGCTTTATAAAGATGAAGAAACTGAGGCTCAGAGGTTAAACCACCCAACATTACGACCTGTACGTTGCAGGCGTTTGAGTGGATCCCCTTTGCAATCTTTGATTCCAAACCTGGCGCTATCACAGCTCGCTGTGTGGCTTCAGATAAGTCACTCTCCCTCTCTGAGCCTCAATCTCCCGCATTTGTGGAATTGGATCACAATTCTTCCGAGGATTAGACGGTGTCTTAATTTCCGGTGGCTACGGTAACAATATTCCCTTGCAGTTTTGGGGGGTGGAGGCCTGAAATCAAGTGGTTGGCAGGGCATGCTTGCTCTGAAGGCTCCAGGGGAGGATTCTCTCTTGTCTCTTCCAGCTTCTGGTGGCTGCCGGGAGTCTGTGGCATTCCTTGGCTGTAGCTGCACGACTCCGATCTCTGCCTCTGTCTTCGCATGGCCTCTTCTTCTGTGTGTCTGTGCTTCCGGGTCCACGTTTCCCTTTTCTTTTTCTTTTTCTTTTCTTTTTTTTTTTTTGAGTGTATTTATTTTGAGAGAGCGCGCGCGCACAAGCGAGCAGAGCGAGCATGAGTGGGGGAGGGGCAGAGAATCCCAAGCAGGCTCTGCGCTGTCGGCTCAGGCCCCGATGAGGGGCCCGAACCCGCGAACTGTGAGATCATGACCGGAGCCGAAGTCAGGAGTTGGACGCTCAACGGACTGAGCCACCCAGGGGCTCCTCTCTTCCCTTTTCTTATAAGGACACCAGTCACATTGGATTGAAGGCCCACCCTAAACAAGCCTTAAGTTGATTACGTCTGCAAAGACCCTGTTTCCAGATAGGTCGCATCCGTTAAGTTTCAGGTGGGCGTGACTTTTCGGGAGACGCTGTTCAAGCCAGTCCCTGTAAGGTGCAGGATGTGACCGTGACTGGAGGGGTCAGTGTGGCGGGGATGATGCACTCCCCACCCCCTGCCTCCCAAGGGCAACTTTGTGGCCCAGAGACCTTCCCGTCTTCCCCTTCTCTGGTGGTCCCATCCCTGCCCTCTCTTTCCTCCTTCTCCAGAGATCACCTAGTCCAAATATCCTACATTAATGATGGGAGAACCGAGGCCCAGAAAGGGAGGCAGCTGGCCCCAGGTCACTCAGCCAACCAGGGGCAGGGTCGGGACTCGATCCCTGACCACCGACTCCTGCCCCACTCCCCAAACTGGCTTTGCCCCCCGTTGTCTGTCTCAGACTTTGCTGAGTGAGGACAGGGATCCTGGGTCTGCACGCTCCCACCGGCACCCTTCTCTGTCCAGAGGCACCTGTCCCTGGCCTTTCTGGTGCTCCCGTCCCGTAGCAACCCCCACCTCTATCCTTGGGGGCTTTGCTCCTTCTGTTTCATCCAGGCAGCTCCCAGGAGGTGGTAAGGGAACGGGGGTGCTCTTCCCTACACGGGCCCCAGCCTGACTGGTCCAGGGTCCTGGGGGGAGTGGGTGGGCAACTGGGGGGAGACGAGAAGACTCAGCCCGCTCACGATGTCTGGTTGTAGCCGTGTATGCATCTCAGAGCGCCCATCTGTGACAGCTTGCTTTGTGGCAGGACATCTATGTTTCTGGTAACGTCTGAACATCTTTGGGAGGGACCGGATAACCTTGTCTCTGAGCGGCAAACTTGTCTATCTGTGAGACGCTGGAGGAGAATTTTAACCCAGCCTGTCTGGTTCTCAAGACGGCAATCCAGCTGTCACACCAAGCGTCCCTCAGACGGGTGAGGCTCTCCTGCCTCGAACCCCCCCCCCCCCCCCCCCCGTTTTCTCAACGGCGGGGAGGTTTTTCCCACCTGGGGGCATTTGGCCACATCTGGGGACATTAGCGCTTGTCACAACTGGTGGGGAGGGTGCTACTGGCATCTGGTGGATACAGACTGCCAGTTCCACACCCTCGGATGCACGGGCCATCCCCACGACAAAGAGTCATCCCGCCTCACCGGTGTGGGGGCTGCTGGCTCCACTCTCCTGGGCTGCGCACAGCCTCTTTTCAGACCTGCCTTTTGAAATGTCCCGCCCCTGGGACAGCCGGGCAAGCCCGCCGTGTGTGTGTGTGCACACTGGATCGCCTTCCCCCTTGGTAAAAAGAAGGCAGCTGCCAGTGGGGGGAGCATTGACTATCCTCCCAAGGACGCTGCCCTTGGCTGTCAGCAAAGCGCCCCAGGCCTGTGAGTTTCAGGCGTGCGGGCTCCAGGAAAAAACCCAAAAATCCGTGAACAGAAATTGCACGACGTAAACGTGTTCTCCCACGAGAAGTTGGAGATCTTGGGTACCTGCTGTGTGTGTCCTCTCCCCCCCCACCCCCCACCCCCCACCACACGCCTTCCGAGCATGGATGTGGAAAAAGGGACATTTTGTAAGTGTTGGGTAATGAGCTTTGAAAATAGCTTCAAGGGGCGCCTGGGTGGCTCCGTCGGTTGGGTGTCTGACTCCCGCTCGGGTCGAGATCTCACGGTCTGTGGGTCTGAGCAAACCCACCCCGCCCCCCTCCCCGGGCTCTGCGCTGACAGCTCAGAGCCTGGAGCCTGCTTCGGGTTCTGTGTCTCCCTCTCTGTCTCTGTCTCTGTCTCTCTCAAAAATACATAAATAAATAAGCATTTAAAAAAATAGCCATCCTCCCTCCCCATTAAAAAAAAAAAGAGAGATAGCTTCAAGACCCTTCCTTTAACCACGGAGCAGCTGTGGGAAACTTGTGCTATATAGAAATCTAGGCGCTGTTAAGGTCCTACGGAAAAAGGAGTGAGTGAATCATAACAGCAAGTGATCATAATGGTATCCGTTCCTCGATTTGCCTGTAGTTCATGCCAGCCTCTATGTCTGGGGCTCTGCAAACGTGACCTTGCCCCTCCCAACGGCCTGAAGGCGGGTGCTTTTAACCTCCGGGGGCCCCCCCCCCCCCCCCCGGCAGTGTCTGTCACAGAGGGGGCGGCTTAGCACTGGCTGTGAATGGATAAATCAAATGAGCCCATTTTATAGATGAGGAAAGTAAGGTCTGGAGAGGGACTTTGATAGGACATGTCAAGACATGTGACTTACAGAGCTTTATAGTTCCTGGGTTTGGATGGGCCAAGCCCTGCACGCCTCTGATACAATCACTTTCTGTTAGTAAAATGGCTCCAAGGTTTTGCAGAAGCTGAACACATCCTCATTTGGGGGGTTCTGCTAAGGGTGCCTTCATCACCTGAACCTATTTGGGAACTGTAAGGTCAGCACAGACCACAGTACCCACTTCACAGATGGGCATACTGAGGATCCCCCAGCTGGGCCCCATGTGTCTACATTCAGCTGTTCTCATCAGGCTGGGTGGATGAGAGTGAAGCAAAGCAGGGAAGAGGGAGTTCTAGAAGGCTCTGACCAGCGCACTCTAGCTTTTTCCCTTCCCAGCTCAGTGCCCTCGAGGGTGCAGAGGGTGAACGAGACCTGAGGCCCCGTGAGAAGGTGCCGGTGAATGGGGGCCGCCAGGAGAAGCGCTCTGGGCATGTGCGTGACGTGCTTCTCCGTTGGCACAGGGAAATTTTGAGATCGTGAACATGGACATGAAGTTGGGCTCAACCCTGAAGATCAAGGGCAAGATCGCCAGTGACGCCGTTGGGTGAGCAAGGGGAGAGGCCGGGTGGGCCCGACCCGGGGAGGGGGGCTGTTCACAGGCCTGGAAGGTGGGGGCAGGCAGGGCAGCCTTGTGAGATGGTCACAGGGGAGAGCGACCTCAGGGGCCTTTTTTTTTTTTCTAATCCTTTGCTCGTGCTCACATCCCTGCCATGCCCCCCGCTGGCTCCCCTCCTGTGAGGGGCCTGCCTTCACCTCCGAGGCTAGGTTTGGGGACCCCCAGAATTTCACAACTCGTGCTATTTGCTCAACTCCGTGGCCCCCAAAGACACTGAAGGGGGTAGGTAGGGAAGCCCCTAGAGATCTGCCCAGCCCCCTGTGGCTCAGGTGTCTCTAGGGAAAGCCAATTCCCCCCCCCCCCCCCCGCCCCGCCCTCCTCACCCAGCTGAATGGGCAGAGGCCAGCCTTTCACACACATTACACCAGAGAGAGCCACCAGGGGGCGCCAAGTGGTCTCTTTTGTATCCTCTCCCTTAGAACTAGCCGCACTTCTAATTCCGTTGTTAACAGCTGGGCACTCGGGCTCTCCCGTGGGCAGAACACGGTTACAGAATTTCTTGGGACTGATCCGCAACCGCTTTTAGTTGAGGAGAGGCGGGCAGAGGCGTAGGGTAGGAGCCAAGAGGAAAATCACTCCTTTCTCCTACTTGGGTTCCCTAAGTATACGGTCATGGTCTGAGCCCTCCCAGTGAAGGCACCCTATTCATGACTCAGAATGTTCTACTCTCAGGGACCTTGGCGGTCTGACCCAGGCTGTAGGGATCCTGTCAACAGGTCACACGGCCCCTGATTGAATACCTGGGATGACAGGGAGCTCGCCACTTGAGGTTAGCCGTTCATGGCCAAACTCAACGGACCTTCAGATACCTAAGGACAATTCTCTCCCCCAAGGACAGGTCCCCCGAACTCCTGAGACTGTCACTATCAGTCACCCTCCTGTCAAGAGCCTTAGTCCCTGTGCCAAATGGAATGACGCTCCAGTGCTGAGTCCGAGCAGGTTGTCACCTCCTTTGTTTTAAGGCACAGGCCTCTGTTAACACTTTTCTTTTGTGATTTCTTTCAGCTTGTGGTCAACCAAGACCCCGCGACCCGAGCAGCTTTACCCAGGGCTGGCCCCTAATCCTTGTTACCCCCTTTCCCTGCAGATTTGCCCTTAATCTGGGCCAGGGGTCATCTAAAGTGGACCTGCATTTCAACCCACGCTTCCGTGAATCTGTCATCGTCTGCAACTCACTGGATGGCACCTGGGGGGAGGAGCAGAAGGATGGTCACATGTGCTTCAGCCCAGGGTCAGAGGTCAAGGTGAGGTCAGAGGGGAGAGGCGCCCGAGGAGGATGTCAAAGAGAGAGCCCAGGTTGAGGGGGGGGGCACCCTCGCCTAGACATGGGGTTTGGCACTGTTGAGGCCAACCCCGGGCTGCCGTGGCCCATTTTCCAGGGCCTCCGGCCTCCCTGACACCCTCCCTCCTGCTGCAGTTCACCGTGACCTTTGACAATGATGGATTCAAAGTGAAGTTGTCAGACGGGCACCAGTTGACCTTTCCCAACAGAATGGGCCACAGCCACCTGAGCTACCTGAGCATACAGGGTGGGTTGAGCATCACCTCCTTCAAGATCGACTGAGCGGAGAGCACCTCACCGGAGTCAAAGAGCCCACTGCGGATTCCCGATCCTGAGCTCCCGCTCGGTCACAGATCAGCGGCCGCTGAGTCCCGGCTCCTGATCAGCAGTTCCTGCCCCTGGGACCCTACTTCCCTCCCCTGAGGCTAAGACCAGACAAAAGAAGCCACCTTTACCTAGTCTTCCTGCGTCAGTGCTTGTGGTGATTTCCATAGTGCTCCCAGCAGCCTCATGCGACAGGGAAGCAAACTGAGGCATAAGGTCGGAGGGCTGCGAGGTGGGGGTTGGGACATGCTCCCAAACACCTCTAAGCACCCGCTGCAGCCTCTCGGTCCCCAGTTATCACCGGGGCAAGTGATTCGTGATTACGGAGGGGGGATTACGGAGCAGGCCCCCCGTTCCAGGCACCTGGGCCAGGGGCTGTTCCAGGAACTGTAGATAAGGGCTTCCACCTGGGCCTCTTATCGCTGGAACATTCATTCCAGCCTGGTTACTCATTACCCCCTGCTTTGGCCCCCCCCCCCGCTGGGGGCCCCGGGGGTGTGGGTCTTGGGGGGGGGGGGAGAGATTCTTTGGTTTTCCAAACCCGATACTGCAAGTATTTTAAGCAGGTGGAGCTGACTTTGTTCTCCCAAGTCCCCAAGCATCTTGCAGGACGCCTTTTATCAAAAAGCCTTTTTTAATCAGGACCCAGAAGCAGGTCTGGGGTGCACAGGAAGGTGGGATTCCTCCCCTGTGAGGTCGCACCGGACTTTTCTCTGGGGTTGGAATGTTGGGGAAGCAGCCTTAGCAAGGGCTGGGGCTCTGAGGGGTGCAGGAGGGACCCTGCTGGGGGCAGCTCTGGGATGAGCTGGGGCAGGACGTCCCTTAGGGAGAGGAGACAAAGGCCCTGTGTGGTATGCTCCCCCCCCCCCCCCCCCCCCCAGCAAGGACAGCTTTTCCAGCACAAAGGCTATACTGTGAGGTTGGGCTCTCCAGCCAGTGGGGTTGGCAGAGGGTGGGGGGTGAGCCTAAGGAACGGCCCTGGGTCCAGAGTGGCAAGGGGCTAGGTAATGCAGCCCAGCAGGCCTGCAGAGGCGTGGAGGGGCTTGGGGGCAACTGGGTTCTCCCATCTATCGTGGGCAGGACCTAGCTATTTGGTGCTGGCTCTGCACTGTTCATGGGCAGTGCCCTGAGCCCTGGCAGGGTCCTGAGCCCACGGCCAGCTGGTCACACCTTGACTTCATCGTCCTCCTCAGCATCAGCAAACTCAAAGGTGTTTGCTTGCACCGTGCTGGGCACGGGGGCCCTGCTGCCCGCCTGGGGTGCCCCCCACTCTTCGTCCAGGCTCTCCCAAGAAGCCCGAGCCTGGGGCAGGACCCCCGCTAGCTCTTGCCGGGCATCGATCTCAGTATAGCGGTGGCTACCCTGGCCGCCCCCCCAGCCTGCTCCCCAGTGCCTGCTAGGGGCCGTGTCAGCAGGTATACGGGGACACTCTCCCACCACACTGGCCCTCACCTCAGCCAGAGGGCTCAATCCAGCAGTCACCCCATTGGGGCAGTGTCCACGTGGCTGGGGGTTTGAGGCAGGGGCTGGGGATCTTGCGGCAGGGGCTGGGGAACTTGAAGCAGGGGCTGGTGAACTTGAAGCAGGGGCTGGGGTCGTCTCAGCTGCAGAGGCTTCTGAAAGGCTCATGACCCCCAGCAGCTCGCTGAGGAGAGATGGCCCCAGGTCGAGGTCCAGGCGGAAGGACAGGAGGGAGTCAGAGCGGCGAAGCTCGGGCTCGGAGGGGAAGGCACTATCACGTTCTCGGTCACGAGGCTTTTCCGGGCGAGGCAGGCGGGAGATAGTGCAGAACCCGGAGTCCGGGCCTAGAAGAATGGGGAGAAGGGTCACAGCTGGGGTCCCTAACCAGGAATCGGGGCGGGGAGGGCCAGGACCGACCCTAGCTTGCTGTGTGGCCTCTAACACGTCACTCTCTCATCCGGCCTCAGATTCTCCCAATATAGCGAACCCTGAAGTTTCTCACGGGATCTTCCTATCAACCCAGAAGTTGAAAATGGACACAATTCTCATTCCCACTTTGCAGACGTAGAAAGGGAAGGCTCAGTCTGGGACAAGGGGAGAGGCTTGCCCAGGGTCATAGGGTCTGAAGGGGGCAGAGGCAAGCCTGGAGCTCAAAACGTCCTGACTCGCAGTCCCAACTGATGGCCACGGTCCTCTTGCATGACAGTGGCCGAAGGCTGCAGGCGAACCCATAGCACGGGGACGGAACTAGCAAGCTGGGGTCTGACTGCACAGAAATCACAGACTCAAAGGACAGGCGGATGCCCTGCAAAGGACCTCTGGTCCAGCCTCTGGCTCCAAAACTACCATGCCTGAGGCACAGTGTGGTCACTGTGGACCAGCCCTCAGCGGAGTTTTGAGCTGCGTTGCTGGGGGCGGAGCACCCACGGAAGCCCCTGGCAGTGGGGCAAACCCACAGGGCAGAGAACGGCCACCAGGTGGCAGCAGGGGCCCTGCTTCCCAAGGCGAGCTGTCCAGCGGAGGAGCTAAGGTTGCGCCTGCCACTCCCCCACCACGGCCGGGAGGGCCCCCTGGCTTCTGTCCGCGTGAGTGGTTTTTCCAAATTTCTCACGTTCTGTCCAAATAACAAAAACACAGCAACAGCCCCGATGTCCTGTCGCTGAGTCTTAGCAATGACCCTAATGGACCCATTACACATACAGGCCAGGATTGAGCCTGCAGAGCTCAGCCGGCGTGCTGGAAACCGGGTAGAACCAGGATTCTAATCCAGAGCCCAGACTCTCAGTCTCGCCACCGTGTCATTCTGACACGAGGGGGCTGCTTCCGTGGAAGGGGACGGGCTGCTTCAGCCATGGGCCCGGACACAGGGAGGCGAGTTAGAGTCGGGGAGAGCTGGACCGCCCTCCCCTCCCCTCTCAACCTCAGCGCGCTTTGTGGAGTGAGCTGGTTTGCGACCCTTGTCCCCGCCCCACCCCCGCCCCAACCCCTTCCACGGTCTGGGGTTCGGGCCTGACCTCCACGGTGGGACCAAACTAACGCGGGGCAAAGAGCTCACTTGGTGGCTCGGCCGTCCCACCGAACACCCTGGGCCCCGGCACCTGACGAACGAGTGGCCAGCCTGGGCCCTCACCGTAACCGGAGTGGCCGTCTGTGGAGCTGGCAGGGTTGCGGTCGAAGGTGAGTTTGCCGACCACGAGGCTGTCGTAGGCGGCCTGGTTGAGCTGGGGCAGGGAGATGGCGTTCTTGATGATGGGGGACACGGCGGGCGGAGCAGGCGAGGGTGCGGGCGGGGAAGCCATCCGCCGGGGCGGTGCCCCTACCCTCCGCACCTGCTGTAGCTTCTTGGCCAGGAAGCTGCGGGGTGAGCGGTGAGTGCTCCCCGAGCTGCCACCGTGGTTGCTGAGGAAGGACGTGTCGCCGAAGACGTCCCCGCCACGGCCCACGTGCATGGTGTGGCGGAAGTCGCCGAGTGGGGGGCTGATCATGTCCGCCGTCAGCCGCCTCTTCCCCTGCGAGCCGGACACCCAGCCAACCGGCGAGAGCTTGCCCAGGCTCATGGCAGGGGCTCCTCCGGCCCCCTGGGGGCCTGGCATCAGCTCCCGCTCTTCACGGTGGATGGTCCGGGGCCCCCCCTCCCCGGGGCCGGGGCTCACGATCCACTTCTCGGCTCCTTCCTTCCCAGAGGAAGGGGGGTGGACGGAGGCTGCTCCTGTGCGCTCCTGAGGTGCGGCCCCCTCGCCTGTCCCTGAGGCCTGGCTCCCGGCCCCGTGGAAACCGCTACGGATGCCTGTCCCAACACAGAGAAGGTACCAGATGCACCCTCAAGCGCCAGCTGCCCCTCTCTGCCCGGCGGTGGAGACCTGAAAGAAAGACAATGATGGCGATCCTGGGTCACACGGCGAAAGGGAACAAGTGACTATACCCACCAACCCCGATGGGGGATACCGCCCACGTGCTGAGAGGGCGCGCGGACGACAGGCCGGACAATTCCGGGAGGAGGACGACGCTTAGGACCAGGCAAAGCAAACAATAGTGACCCAGTAGGAATTGTGGCTGTTGTCTGTGAACAGGTATGGACCGGAGGGGGGCACGAAACAATTCATCGGGCTGCCCGCTTGAGACGTCTCTCTGCAAAAAGCATGACTGGTCCTTCTACGGAGGCCGTTTATGAAGCACCTACTAAGTGCCAAGAAGTGACCTGTTACTCGTGTCATTCACACGACACCCCGGAGGGAGGCGCTATTTTATTTTGTATTCTTTTCTTTTCTTTTCTTTTCTTATTATTTTTTTCAACGTTTATTTATTTTTGGGACAGAGAGAGACAGAGCATGAACGGGGGAGGGGCAGAGAGAGAGGGAGACACAGAATCGGAAACAGGCTCCAGGCTCTGAGCCATCAGCCCAGAGCCCAATGCAGGGCTCGAACTCCCGGACCGCGAGATCGTGACCTGGCTGAAGTCGGACGCTTAACCGACTGCGCCACCCAGGCGCCCCTTATTTTATTTTTTAAAGTTAACTTATTTTGAGAGCGAGCGAGTAGCGAGGAACAGAGAGAGAGAGAGAGAGAGAGAGAGAGAGAGAGGGAATCCCAAGCAGGCTCCATGCCATCAGTGCAGAGCCCGATGCGGGGCTCAAACTCACAAACTGCGAGATCGTGACCGGAGCCGGTGTCGGGGGCGCTTAACCGACTGAGCTACCCAGCCACCCCAGGAGGCACTATTTTAGGGAGGAGAAACTGAGGCACAGAGAAGTGAAGTGACTTGCTTGAGGCTACATAGTAGAAATGGTGAGGCAGAGCCCTCCCGACCCTGAGCCCTTGAGCCCCAAGCTACATTCTCTTCTGCGGGCACGTTGAGCAAATCACCTCCCTTCTCTGTGGGTGAAATTGTCTTTCACTCGGAGAGGCCAGGAGGGAGGAGGTGCCTTGCCACAGGCTTTGTGCACTGCTGTGTAAACAGCCTGCGCAGTGGTTCCTTAGAACCCTCCGCCTTCAAGGTGCTTCCTGGAAAAAGGATCCTGTGGTCAAAAGTGGCTTTTTCCAGCTGCCTACTGCATGCCTGAGCAGATTCAAGGCTCTGAGAAGGCCCGCAGGAAAGACCTTTACCATAATTTTTCAAATTGACATAGGAGCCTTGTTGTCAGGGAACAAGTTTTGGAAAGAGCTCAGCAGGTGCCAAAAGCGATTCCTTCCCCACTCCGTCCCCTCCTGATCTCCCCCACCTCCTCCCCAGCCCCAACCTTCTCTAAGCTTCTTCTGGTCTGACCCCATCCCTTCTAGCATCATAGAAAGTGCAGTCTGGAGGACACCTATGAGCCTACGGTCTGACCTCTGGTTTTCCTGTGGCCCACAGAGGGTCCAAGTTTGCTCCAGGTCCCAGCAAGAGAGCTAGTTGAGACTTGAACTCAGAGCCTCTGACTCATGGCCCTTTGATCGGCTCCTGGAGCCCCGTCTTGTCTCCCTAGATTGGCAACACACTCTGAAGGTGGGGCGGCTGTCTGGATTTTCCTGCCTTCCCCCCTCCCAGCACCCAGCCTGGGCTCCGCACCGGCCAGGTGCCGAATCAACAGGGGTTCAATCACAGGGGATCTTAGTGATGACCTTCATACCAAAGGATCACCCTTTGCCACCTTCCCAGTGAGGGTAGGTGGGGGATTCAAAGGCCTCGCAGGGTGACCTTGAGCAAGTCACTTACCTCCACAGGTGTGGGGCCTCAGCTGATAAAAGCTGATAAGACCTAGATGTGTGCCTCAACTTTTTTTTTTCCGCTGGTTTTTAAATACCGCTGCCACCTCCAACATACAAAATCTCAATACTGCCCTTTGAATGTTATTTGAAATTCAAAATCGGTTAAATAACGAGATAAAAAACAAAGAAAGCAATAAAACAAAGCCAGCTTTGTTCTCGGACTGCATTCTCGTCCCTTCCCACCATCTGATCCACCCCCCAGCCCTAACTCCTCCCCCTTGGGGGGGGGTGTCTGAATCATCCCTTTCCCTGGCACCCCCAGCACCAAGAAGTCCTCGTGGAATGTTTGCGGAAGTTACGAAGCACTCTGCAGTTGGCCACCCGTTACATGATGTCATCCGACTCCAAAGGCCCCGCTGTTGAGGTCATGAGGGTGAACCCATTTTTACAAGCAGAGCCGAGGTTCCGAGGGAAGGGACTTGGCCAAGGTCACCTGGCAGGTGCATGGCATGGGCCAGGTTTCCTAGCTCTGCAGAGAAGACGGATGAATCTCTGGGAGGGAAAGGAACGGGCCGGGGGTGGGGGCGTCACTCCGAATGCCACGTGAGGGGTCACTGTGTCTGCCATGTGGCTACACCCACCTCTCTCCCAGCATCCACCTTGAAGGAGCCACTCTTCTCTCCACCGAGAGGACTCTGGCCCCCACCTAATCCCCATGGCCACCTTAACTCTCGAGACCAGCTTCTGCTCCAACCTTGCGACGCTCCCACCTCCCCAGTGCCCCTGGGCACCTCTGAAAGGTCTCTCCTTACCTCTCCACCTTGCCCTGCGACAGAGGGACACTGCCGGGTGGTGGGGCCAAGGACAGGGCAGTGCTACTGGGGACCCGTTTTCCCACGTGGGAAACAGTAATAGCATCGAAATCTGGTTTTTTCCCAAAGGAGCGAGAAGAGCGGAAGGTGCTGTAATTAAACCCCCAGGTCCCGGAGTCAGGCGGCCCCGGTTCAAATCCAACATATGAACACGAGCATCTCTGACTCTGGGCGTCCTTGGTGGGAGCTATTTGGCACCTGACACTGACTTCAGGGTATCGCTGGCAATCAGGTGTGTCCCATCTGGCCCTGGAGGAAGAAGGGCTCCAGGCGTCCTGGTGCAAAGCCTACCTCCCCTTACCAACCCAGCATGACTGCCTGTTGATGCTCATGACACCCATTTTACAGGTGAAAACGATGAGGCGTAGAAAAGGGGACCGACTTGCCCCGAGTCACAGAGCAAGGAAAAAAAAAAAAAAGTGGTGTAGCTGGCAGCCTCCCCAGGATTCTGTCACCATCACTTAGTAAATGCCAGGGGAGGGATAGGACCATAGCGGCGGGGCGAGGGGCGGGGGAACAGCTGTGGCAGGAGGCAATGCCCAGCTGCCGAGCTCCAGAAGGGCAGGCCTGGGAAGCAGGAGACTGAGCTGTGCGGGTTCGGTGCCCGTGACCAGGCAAGAGTGGTCACCAAGTGGCCTGGGTGTCCTAGCAGTCTTTATATTTACCCTACAGAAGACAGTCAGGCGGGGGCACTTGGTAAGAGGTTACTCAATGGTGGTAATGACGCAAGGACAGGGTTTGAAGCCGAGGGCAGGGACCACGCGTTAGGAGAGGCCAACAGGGGCCGCTGTGGAGGCACCTGTGGTTCAGAGGAGGCTGGGGGCTGTCTGACATTGGGGGAGGGGGCAGAGGCTGGGGCGGCTGCACCCCTGCGCTCACCTGGGGGTCACCCACAGGTACTGGTGCCTGCCGGCTCACCACCTGTCATCCAGGAGGCCACTCACACGCACACAGCCCCTTCCCCACCAGTGTCCAGCTGGTTAGCATCCCAGACTGCTGGACAGCGTGACGGTGCCTGGATGAGGGCTGCTATGGCCCTGGAATAAAACGTCAAGTCCCTGGGGCCTCTCATACCCCTGGAAGGCACACCCCATCCCCCAACCCGGTCAAGGTGGAGACATGAGCAAAGTGAGGCCAGAAAGGGGCAGCAAGCTGTTTGCAGGGGCAGCGCGGACCCTGGGACAGGACTCTGAGGGGTTAGATGGGAGCACCAGGGGCCATGGGGGAGTAAGAGGAAAGCAGGTTAGAGCCCAAGCCCTCCACTCGGTGAGGCGGACGGGCCGCGGCCCAAGTGTCGCACAGTCCTGGGTTCCAGCCCCCCCCCCCCCCCCCCGCCGCCTCTCTAGGCCTCAGTTTCCCGGGCTAGCAAATGGGCTTCAAGCTGGGCGGACCTTGCGTGGTCGAGGCAAGAACAGAACAATGTCGAGGCCGTTCGAGATTGGAAGTCCGGGAAAGACTTTGGCCAGAAAACGTTCCCTCTGGGAGGCAAGGAGTTCGGATGGGGAGGGTCGCTCCACGGGGGAGGGGAGAAGGGACAGCCGGCTGTCGTGGCCCGAGGGGAACCGGACGGGATGACCTCATCCGTGCTCGGCCTGGAATGCGGCGGTTGGGGAGGGGGCAGGGTGCCTGGTCCATCTCCCCTGCGGTCCCTCCCGCCCCCCACTTCCCGCTCACCGCGCCGGCCTCGCCAAGGGGCCCGACATTCCGGCACTTTCGCCCCCTCCCCGTTCCTTCCCTTCCTTCCCCAGGGCAGGAAGGAGCGTAGACGGCCCTCCGCGCGCCCCCTCCTCCCGCAGCCGGCTTCACCGCTCGCCCGCTCCAGTGCTCTGCGCCCCTCCGCTCGCCCGGGACCTTGCAAAACCACCCCCAAACTCGGAGGGTCCCCGCGCCCTGCGCGACGGGCCTTCCTGTTGGCACCCGGGGCGCCTTGGGCAGGCTGGCCTCCTCCCTCCCTCCCCCCCCCCC